GCGTCTGGAGTACTGCATCCAGTTCTGGGCTCCCCAGTTCAAGAAGGACAGGGAACTGTCCTTTGCTGGAGAGGGTCCAGCAAAGGGCAACGAAGATGATTAGGGGATTGGAACATCTCTCCTATGGAGAAAGGCTTAGGGACTTGGGTCTCTTTAGTCTAGAGAAAAGAAGATCGAGGGGGGATCTTATTAATACTTACAAATACTTAATGGGAGGATGCCAGGGGGATGGGAGCAGTCTTTTTTCAGTGGTGCCCAGTGATAGGACGAGGGGTAATGGGCATAAACTTGAACATAGGAAGTTCCATCTTAACATGAGAAGGAACTTCTTTACTTTGAGGGTAGTGGAGCACTGGAACAGGTTGCCCAGAGAGGTGGTGGAGTCTCCCACTCTGGAGACATTCAAAACCCGCCTGGACGCTGTCCTGTGCAACGTGCTGTAGGTGACCCTGCTCTGGCAGGGGGGTTGGACTAGATGATCTCCAGAGGTCCCTTCCAACCCTAACCATTCTGTGATTCTGTGATTCTGTGAGTGTTGTGACAGGATGAGGGAAAATGGTTTCAAACTGGAAGAGGGTAGATTTACATTACATGTTAGGAAGAAATTCTTTACTGTGAGGGTGGTAAGGCACTGGAACAGGTTGCCCAGGGAAGTTGGGGATGCCCCATCCCTGGAGGTGTTCAAGGCCAGGCTGGATGGGACTTTGAGCAACCTGGTCTAGTGGGAGATGTCCCTGCCCATGGCAGGGGGGTTGGAACTGGATGATCTTTCAGGTCCCTTCCAACCCAAACCATTCTATGATTCTATGATTGGCAGTGTCGGCTCCAGAGTGCCAGGGAGCCTGCGAGTGGCAAACCAGTGAAGGTAGGAGGGGTTTGTTTGGCTTCTTTTAGATCGTGGAGCTGGATGAGAGCAGCGGGAAGAAGCAAGAGAGAGGTCTAATTTGCACTTTCTGGTACTGCATCTCCAAAACTGTTACACAATGTATAATACAAATGTGGTGTGTGTGTGTTATTTCCCCCTGAGCAAACACCCAAAATGCCTGGAGGAATGGGTGGATGAAGAGACAGTGAACCCCTTCACCCTTTTCACCTGCTGGGATGCATTGTTGACACTCCCTCAAACCTTACCAGAACTTTGCAAGGCACTTCATGTCCTGGATTTTAATTATTCCTCACTGCCCCTTTCCTGTGTGCTGACTGCCAGTTATGAGTATCTATATTAGCATTGTATGGAAGCTTATATGCGTATCACACCAAATGCTTTATAACTCATCAGACTTCATCTGCTGGGTTCAACAAGTTTTTTAAGGCTGAGTTACTAGGTCAACCTACCGTAAATAATACAGATTCTTGTCTATCAAAAATGGAGCAGACAAGTACAGAGTAAGCCTAGACATACAGGGGAGAATACATGAAAGACAGGGAAAGGCCAGCAGGATGAACACAGGACACCTCACCTGCACAACCACAGTGGTCTGCTTGTCCCCTTCCCTCTACACGGCCTCACACCTTTCCTCCTCCTCGTCCCCGTCCGTCCCTGCCTGCCTTTCCTCCCAAATCCCAGACTTGAGCCAGCCCTGAGTCACGTTA